ATGGTAAAAATCATGAGATAAAATAATACAAGAATTGAAGGCAATCTGAGAGCCAAAGTCCTTCAAAACAGAGGCATAGGATTCATTTCTACATCAAGATTTACTGAGTGTATGTTGTGTTCTAGACGTTGCCTTAAGTCCGGAAGACACTGAGATAAATGCAGCTTCTGCCCTCAAGGAACTCAAAGCCCCATTGGGGAGAGACAGTCTCGTGTCATGCGAGATGGCCAGGCCTAAAACCTCTATGGGGTATCAGTAGGAGGCCATGAAAAAGTTCTGCAGAGAAGGTCAAGTATTAGAAGTTTGAAGGCAGTGAAGAAACTTCCAGGCAGAAAGGGGAGGGGGAGAGGAACCCCGAGTCAGGGAACGGCATACACGGGCAGTGAGGTGTGAATCTCACTTTGTTCAGGGTGCTGGTGGGTACGGGAAACACAGCAGGATGTGGGACCATTACCACATAAAGAAGAGCTTGTGAGGGGCCTCATAATACCTGTCCAAAAAGAGGTTGCGTGTTCTAATATGAGTGACAGAAACATTTGCCCATTTCAGGCCATTATTGAGGGAAGTGGGAAATCTCTGACTTATTTGATCAGAATGATGGTTTTTTACTGACCATCTCACTACAGTACTCCAGTTTTAAGTTGTATTTTGAAGACATATCTCCTTAAGTGGATGGAGCTTTGCTCACAAAGTAGCCCCAGCCATATTTTTAAGCAAATGTCTGTCTTCTCGCCATGCTGTGGAGAGGTGCCGAACCACTGCCCTCACATAGTAGAGACACTGCATTCAACATTTGCTTAGAATATTTGTTGGAGACTGACATCTTTCCATTTTAGAATAAATTTCCACAGCAAGCCCAGCAGGAAGCAGTAAACAAAAGTGCAGTAGAACTTTAAGGTATTTTTTGTGACAGTATGCTATCACCTTCAGTGTCGCCACAGTCTCCACCTCTAGGAAATGTCATCTTTCCCTTTCCCGATGACAGCTGGTTTTGTCCTGGTGAAAAGAGAGATCCCTTACCTGAGAGGAATTAATTTCCTCATGCAACTTTAATAAGGTTCAGAGGTGTGTCCCCAGAGACACAGTGACAGAAACATAAATCGATGATTACCCCTCTAGAGCTAAAGAAAGCTCTACTTCCTTGAGCTGCTGCTTTTAGTTCCAGCTAGGATAGCAATTTGTTTTCTGAAAATGTTAATGCTCACTCACATTCCCAAAGTCAGTCAAAACACTGGATTCCCACTCAGAGTTCATGGCCTCAAAGTTGCGGCAAATGCACAGTGAAAGTGAGATATCAAGAGAAATAAGCCAGGCGCAGAAAGGCAAATGTGCCATATTCTCATTCACATGTGAGAGCTAAAAAGATGGATCTCGTGAAGACAGGAAGAAGAAGGATAGTTGCCAGAGACTAGGAAAGGGAAGAAGGGAGGTTGATTAGTGGCTACAAAAAATATGCAGTTAGACTGAAGGAATAAATTGTAGTGTCCGACAGCAGAGCTGAGTGACTGTACAGAACAAATATACTGTATATTTCAAAATAGCTAGAAGATTTGGAATATTCCCCACACAAAGAAATGAAAAATATTTGAGGAGATGAATATGCTAATTATACTGATTTGATCTTTACACATTGCTTTCATGTATTAAAATATCATGCATACCTCATAAATATGTACAATTGTTACATAACAATAAAAAAGAATGTGACTATGGAAAGGTATTTTAACCATAGGAAAATATTTGTTTTGAAAATGAGAAAAATCGTTCATCAAAGTAATGATAAAATCAGTATATGTCTGTTTATAAGTTAGCTGGCTCCAGTTTTTACCCTGAGGCAAACTTTTTTCTTTTTGCATTTATATAATTTGCTATGAAGAGATTTTTCTGTGTTCTTGTGGTTTTATTAGAGATCACACTATTTACTTGTCTGATGTTGCGTTATCATTTCAGACACTTTCACCCCTAAGACTACCTTTTGGTGTCATTGTGCTCTTTACAAAATCTGACCACATTCACAAAAATCTCTCAACTCTCTCTGAAGCAATATGTTTTTTCCATGTAATAGTATACTATGGAACAAGTACCAAACTTAGAAGCCTGGAATTTTAGACCAAAGGTTGTCATTCATGAAACAAGTGACTTTAAAAAGTCATTCTACCTTTGGGTCTTAGTGTCTCTGCACCACAGGCTGGGAAGTAATAATATCTATCATTACCTAACTCATTACAATTTCCCTGTTGGAGTTACATCACTGTGACTCCAACAGGGAAATTGTACTTGAAAGCAAGTTAGCTTGTAAATTTACTCAAGCATGTATTGAACAACATGATTGTTCATGTGTCTGAAATTCAAATCTTTTTCAAAGACTGCCTTCATTGAATCCCCAATAAAACGCTAATTGAAAGTATTTTTATTGGTAGTTGAGCTCATGTCGCTCTAATGAGTTTAATATAGGAATTAAACTTTGATACCTTACAGGAATGGATCATGAATATGCCCCCTTGACCATCTCATTTAGTGGTAGCTTTGTCTTCTGAAATTTTGATAGAAGAGCTAGTCAATTGAAGATGGAATCCTTGAGAACGTAGGTAGTAGAAGACCCTGTGATATGGATTATACATGTGGTGTGGGTGCTTGGCAGGTAAGGAAATCGACAACCTGTTGTGAAAATTTTGAAGGACGTTGAATTTTTCTCAGATTAATTGTTTTATTTCTTAAGTATGGAGCTGAGGGGTAACTTGCTGTCTTCAAAAGTTTTAGATGTGCTGAAAAGCCTGGACAAGCATTCAGTCATTGACTCCCTCCAATCCCTCGCCAGCAGGGTAGGAAAAGTTTTGGCTTGGCGACTCCGGGGCAGGTGTCACCAGCTGGTTGCCCAAACCATGGCAAAACCTCCTTCTGGCCTTTTTTAAATGCCTGCCTTTGAGCAGTGCTACCTCCTGGTGGGCCTGCCAGGGAGGATTAGTTTCAGAACGCACTCGCAGGAAGTGGACTGAATTACATTGCTGGATGAGTTAGGAATGTGTTCTTACATGTTGAAGAAAGTCTGCCCAAAACAGCAATCTTGAATAAATTTTCAGCCCATTGAATTGAACTGCCCATTTTCTTTCTGATTGTGTTTAACCAATGGGTTCAACTGCTTCTGTTAGAGTTTTATGGCTCATGATAATAAAATAAAGTCATAGAAACTCCTTTATGAATTACAAAGTGTTATAGCAATGACGGCAAGATATTATAACAGTGTGTCGGTGTTATGAATCTAACCAGAGATTAGAAAACTGCATGTGTGTCCTGCTTTCTGAAATACAAGCTTTCCTCAGTTTGAGGAATACAGATACTTTAGAAAAGTTAGGTTTAAGTTGAATCCAATCTTCTGGTAGTCTTCCACGATTAAAATACTGATGTGGTTGTTAGGAAAATAAATTCATCGGTAAATTTCATTGTTTGTTTTATGTGTAAAATGAAGACTCTTCAGTGGTTCTTAAGTGTCTAGCAACTATATATCTTTTGAAATCAGATGAGCTAGATGTCTCACTTAAAAAAACGGGGCAAAGCACAAACAACGCAATCAATCTGTTGTCATAATTTTATGGGCTTCAACTTCTTTGGTGGGTCCCAGGACTACACTTGTCTAACCAGGCTTATCTGTATTCACCCACAGTGTGGGTCTTTTTGTTACCTTCCAGCTCTCATTCGGTGGCTTTTCTTCCCCTGAGAACCCTCTTCCTAGCTCATCTGGTGTGAGTTCTTGCTCTTCACCTCACCGTCACTGAACGGCACTCTGTCCCTGGCCTGTGATAAGCATAGACCTCAACCAGAAGTGGCAGGTGTGAGGGCAACCATTCCCTAGGTATCTGCTCTGGACAGCAACAGGGCTCCATATGGAGTGCTTTGCGTACAGAATCTGCCCCTCCCCATCGTTTTGAAGTATCTGATGATTTTTGTGCACCACTGTGCCTCCCACTTGCTGAGAGGAAGCCAAAGATGTCATTGGTATTTAGGAGGGGATGGAGATTAAGGGGATGGGAGCAATTAAACTCAAACAGGAATTGACAGTTAATATGCCCTTTCAGCTATCTCATTTAATGGCAGTCTTGTCTTCTGGAATTTTGATAGAAGAGCTAATCAATTCAAAAGAATTTCAGTAGTGCAAAGATCCTGTGATGATGTAAGTGCTTCAGAATTGGGGATTAGCAGGCGATAAGATCCCTGATTCAAGAATTAGGCTCAGACAACCTATAGCAATAGATGGTTAATATGCCCCTTCAGATGAAATTATGAATTTCACAGAAACTTGGATGGACTTAGAGGCTCTAATGCTGAGTGATCTATCACAGAAACAAAGAACGGAGTATCACATGTTCTCACTCATAAGTGGACCTTGAACAACTATCGTAATCCTATAAGAAAGGGATTGGCAGTAGTGGGAAACTGCCAGTGGAGGGGGCATACCTCATCAACAAGAGTACCTACAAAATGAACATTTGTATACTTAATCCTGAGTTGTACCCCACACATTTAAAATTAAAAATTAATATATATATTGACATACATATGCCCCTTCATATATATATACACACATGCTCTTTCAATCATCTCTTGTCTTAGTGGCAGTCTTGTCTTCCAAAATTTTGATATAAGAACTAATCAATTCAAGATTGACCCCTTGAGAATGTCAGTAGTGGAAGACCCTGTGATGCTGATGAAAGTGTGATACATGTGCTTTAGAACTGAGGCTTGGCAGGTGAGGAAATCAACAGCCTGTCAATAGCTCCAGACTACTTAATGTCTTTCATTCTGAAAGAACGAGGATGGCTTTAGGTCAGGTTGTACATCCTTCCCAATGCCCAACTTACCTACCCACCCCTTGGGCTTGGTTGAAGTTAGATCGAGCTTTCAGGCTTTCTTATTAAATTGCACCTCCCTGCTTCTCTGCTCAGGAATCCAGTCACTACCAGTCACCCCTAACCATTGTCTTTTGCTTTGCTCTGTACACACAGGTAACAACACTGACTCAGGAAGTCTCCCAGTTAGGTAAAGACATGAGGAATGTGATGCAGCTTCTGGAAAGTGTTCTGTCCCCCCAGCAGCCACCACAGTTCTGCTCTCTGCACAGCACCTCTGCATGTCCCCCCAGAGAGAGCTTACAGACCAGAATGAGCTGGAGCTCGCACCAACCTTGCCTGCACCTGCAGACAGGTGGGACTGCTTATACCCAAGCACAGCTTTGTCACAGCAATATTGCCTCAGACATCTGGTGTGTGGATCCCTCCTCTGTGGGGAGCAGCCCCCAACGAACTGGAGTTCATGAGCAAAACCCTGCAGACAGTGAACTTCCTCATTCTCCAAACCTGGAGTATTCGCCTTCGCACCACCAGGTTGTCCAAGAAGGTCACTTGCAATTTTTAAGGTGCATCTCTCCACATTCAGACACCACACTGACGCCGCTGCAGTCCATTTCAGCAACTCTCTCATCCTCCATCTGTTCCTCCTCGGAAACATCTCTGCACCTCATTCTCCCAAGCAGATCAGAGGAGGGCAGCTTCAGTCAGGGAGCTGTGAGCTCCTTCAGTCTGGAAAACTTGCCAGGATCTTGGAACCAAGAGGGAAGGGCCTCGGCCTCTACCAAACCCTTGGAGAGCTTTCCCCTGGAAGTTGTCTCAAGCACAGCAGAAACAAAAGATAACAAAGCCATAAACGTATGATATCAGCTTTCATGATGCAGCTGCCAATCTCCAACCTATCACTGCATGCCGGCGTTCATTTGCCTGTTTTGCCTCTGGCGGGTATGAAGACTGGGCAGAGTTGGGAACCCCGAGAAGAGATGGTGAGGAACCAGCAGAATAGAACCACTTCCACACTGTAAAAAACAATTTCTAAGTCCTAGAAGCATCATAGAAACATTTTTCTGGACGGTATTAACTTATCGGTCTGTTTGACAGACTTTGGTAAAAGTCTAAAACCCCAAGGGTCTGAGCAGCGAGAAGTCCCAGACAAAGTATTTGTGGATGAGTTTTTTCCTGGGTGGCTTTTGTGGAGTGCAGCAGAGGTTTTTTCCTGAGTGCCTGTGTGTCGTTCCTGAACAATATCTACTGCGCTGTTGGCCTCAGGAGTGCACAGCTCCTGCTGGTCTATTTTTTGTTTTGTGAACACAGAGGGACAATTATCACTGCATGTCATCTCCTAGACAATCAGTCAAATAGAGCTGGTGGCCAGTGGTTACCTATTCGCACGTTATTTGCCATGTAAATGAAAATGTCTTTATTTATCAAAAAAGAGGCTATTTTTATATATCCTTGGTATGAAATATGTATTTAAACTATTTAAAATATTTATAAAAATTGAATGTTTTCTTTTCATTTTGGTTAAAAAAAAAGCTTGCTGTTGAAACAAGAAATGCACTACCGTTGTGTACAGTAGATCAAAAATTATTTATTATTAAGAGGATGTAGTTTCAAAAGGAATCTCCCTTTTATCTGCATGCAGTTTGCAACAAATGTATCCTCACACTTCTGAATGACCAAAGAAGAGTGGGTCATATTTTATTAAAGAAATAAAAACATGAACTGAGTGTCAATGACGTGAGCTTTGGCATGGTGGGAGAGAGGCGTCATCTAGGCTCTGGGACTCATGTCAATACCCTGAATTAAGGCCTTCCCTATGACTTTAATTTTGTGCCTCTGGGCATCATACTTGGTGCTCAGGAACCCAGAATTGGTCTGTGAAATATGAGTCACATCTACATTGAGCCATTTGAGGCCCAAAGTAAGGGAGAAAAACTTGAGGGAATCCTTTCTTTCCCGGTGCTCTTCTTTGGGAGACATAGTAGACTGGCGGAAATTCCCAAATAGAGCCAAGACTTTTGAGCTATGGCTTGTGGGAGTGACAGGTCAGCATGCTCCCTTTTTCAAAGGCTCCCAACAATGCTGTAAGCTATATGGCATTTTCACTCCTGTTTTGCAGGGGGAGCTCCAGAGATTACACAATGAGGATGCTGGTACAATGTAGAGCCCCTCATGCTCCCGACATCTCACACTGATATGCAAATTTAAGTGCTGGGTTTGGCAGTGATTTGAACACCTTCACTTACATCGTATTTTACATTTAAGAACACTTAGGGCCCAATTTCCCCAAACATTTCTAGAAAACATATTGAGTCCATGCTCTATCTTCTTGTTTTTATTTTTCACCACAAAGGATAAACCATCTGAGAGTGGTATCATTCCAAACATCTAAACAAACCAAGACTTCCAGTGAGGTGTGAATTTTGCATGCTAGGACTAGCTAAAGCGGTACATGTGGAAGACATTTTCCTTAAGAAAAATGAACACCATGCACGTTTACAAGGCAAGTCACAAGACTCTATACCATACCTTCCACTCCCCCGCCTCCAAAATCCAATCTCTCCCTAAGTTAAAGGAAAACTTGATTCCAGATCCCGTGCATTCATTGACATTCCCTCTTTTGTGCATCCTGGCCTATACCATCATTTTAAATGCTGTTCATTAAGAGTTCATGGGTGCTGGCCCACGAACATCCTTCCGGTTAACTAGCATGGTTGTTACTAGAGCTAGCAAGAGTGACCGGCCTTCAGTTTCCTGAGTAATGTCTGTGTACTAGCTGAGGTTTACGAACTAATGCACACTTTACTTCCCGTGTAATCATCTAACAATGTCAAAAGTTATTTGAGTTATTTGTTGTTATTATCCTTATTTTACAAATGAATAACTGGACACGGATTTTTTTTTTTAAACTTGCCTTGGCCACATTGTTTTAAATGATGGACCCACAGCCCCCTTCATGTCCAAAACCATCCTTGTTGCCTTTTGAAACTTTACTATTACAGTTGGCCCCTGAACAATGAGGGACAGGAGCGCTGACCCCTCCACAGTCAAAAATTCGTGTATAACATTTGACCACCCCCCCAAAAAAACTTAACTCCTAACAGTCTACTATTGACCAGAAGTCTTACCGATGACATAGTCGATTAACCCTTATTTTGCATATTATGTATATTGCATACTGTGTTCCTACAATCAAGTACACCAGAGAAAAGAAAATGTTGCTAAGAACATCATGAGGAAGAGAAAATATATTTACTATTCCTTAAGTGGAAGTGGATCATCATTAGGGTCCCTCATCCTTGTTGCCTGTGTGTCAAGCAGGCTGGAGAGGAGGAAGAAGAGGAAGGATTGGTCTTGCTGCTTCAGGGGTGGTACAGCTGCAGGAACCTCCACATATAAGCAGTCCCTTGCAGTTCAAAGCCATGTTGTTCAAAGGTCAATGGTCATTTCTTTCATAATCAATGAATAAAGTATTTGTGTTTTGTTTCAAAGTAAGTAAAAAAATAAAGGTGAGCTAGCTAAGCTCCAAGATTGGGACAGTCCCAGGGAAACGGGTGGAAACATGCCCATGTTTTCCCGTGCAGTTGTGTATCTGCCCACAACAGCTGACTTTAGCCAAGGTGAGAACTAGCCCCCGACCTGTGTGGAGCTGCAGCTGGGCAAGAATGAGCTGGCCCCTGGGCAGTGGGAGGGCACCATCAATGCTTCCCACGAGGACCTCTACCTCAGCTGAGCCATCCCCATCCAATTCCTCTTCATCACTCTGACAAATGAACTCTCCCATATCCAGGGCAGCTCAGAGTGATACAGCCTTACTTTAAGTGTGCTGTAAAGAAGAAGTAGAGATTCCAGGTTTTCCTGGATGTTTGATTGTCTAAGCATTACAGCTCTGCAAATAGCAGAGGCCCACGTCTTCTCGTCAGGGAAACATTTTTGGACCCTCCGTCTCCTCACTTAGCCACCCTCTGCTGAAGGAGCAAACCAAAGATCCAGCAAGAACAGAAGTCGTTATTTTGGGGGTCAAGATTATTTCAAATTATATTGAGAACTAAAATGTTCTAGGTAGTTCCAATGAGGAGAACCAGGCAGACGGATTATGTGAAACTTTATATGAATTCAATATAAAAGGAAATTTTGGCAATGAAAATTACTTGCAAATGGAGCTTATTGTTTATCCCCAATAGACAAAGTCCTCTCAGAAGCTGCGTGGCTATTTGACAGGAATGGTATTTTTTTCCAGAAGGACTCTGCATTAGGTGTGAAATTAGCAGAGTGTCTACACCATAACCACATGGGGGTACAAATTTAAAATACAGAAAATCTGGCTCCAAGTCAGTTTCTTTGAGTAGAGCCTGAAAACCTGCCATTTAGTAAACTCCCTGGGTGACGTACATACACTAAAGATTGAGAAATATTTTGGTTTTGGTCAATAATTTACAGAAGTACAAGTTGAGTACTAGCTAATTAGTGTGTAAGTAGACTAGCACTTAAATTCTACTAAGGATACCCAGAGTCTGTAATTGTACAATGGAGAAGCCTGGTTAACCCCCAAGTCAGTAGTTCTCAGGCATTATTTCAAATGATGTATTTCTGGGGGATCTCGTGAAAATCAGGATATCGGGGCTTCAACGCCCAAGATGTGAGCTGAGCACCCAGGTGATTCTAATCTGGATATTCCAAGAAAAAAATTCTAGAAACATTGTCCTAAGCAGTGTAATCATTCCTTAGATGTTGAGTTAGTTCTATGGGGAGATGGACCAGATGCAGTCAAACCAAGTAAAACTGGCAAGTTTGGGCAAAGCTACCTCTGTGTAGCTCCTAACACATCTATGATTTTTTTTTTCATGAAAGTCATTGACCACTTTTCTTCAAAGGAGCTTTGAACATGCACACATCACTCTACCTACAAATAGCTAATTGTCTACTATGTGCCAGGCACCACCGTGCTACCTCTTGATCTGTTGTAGGGCTTTGTGTTCTTTTTTCCTTTCTACTTTCTGGAAGGAAAAACAAAAACGTGAAGATGCCTTTTGAAGTCCCGTATACTGGTCCATGCCTCCTAGACAGGAAGGAATTGTATTTGGAATGCAAAGGGAGATGATGACTATTTGGTTAAGAGATGACAGTGGCTATGAATGAGCCCTGTGTGCAATGGAATTGCTAATGTCAGAATTATGATCTTATCTGTAACCATGAAAACAGCTCCCTCCAAACATTGCCTGCTAAAGCTGCTTCTACTGGACTGCATTGCTCATTTCCTAAGGTCATCTTTTCAAGCCCTTGTTTTAAGTCTTTTTTTCAAAAAAGTCTAGAATGTTCCCAATGTAGTCTTCTCTTGAATGTCATCCTCCCTGAAAACAAAGTCCCAGCACCTGTGCCATCTCTGCCTTCAGGAAGGCTTCCTTTGCCTACTTCTCTCTCCTGCTGAGAAGCAGGAGAAACACAAACAAGAACACAAAGAAGTGTTTGGTTTCCAACATTTCTCCTTGCTCTGTGACCTCAGACAAGTTATTTAACGCTTCGGAGCTGCGATTTCCTCATTTAAAAATTGATAAGTAAAATGTATCTAATTTGCAGAGTCTCTGATGCTGTGAGATGTGGCGAAGTGGTTTACGTGAAAGCATACTGCCTACCATACAATGGATGCTGAGCAAATGCCAATTCATCCCCCGTGGGCTTCTATCCTTCACTCCTCTGCTATCCTCCTCCTCCCTGCATCTCCCTCTCTCCTTCCCTTCCAGATTCCGTCCCCCTTCCTTCCTCCTACGCTCTTCTTCCCCAGCCTCTTCCTGGCTCTCCCTTTTTCTCCAGCCTCCTCTCCCCTTCCATCTTCTCTGCTCTCTTTCCTGCTCCCCTCCTTC